CGGTACCGACTGGATCAGACTGGCACTTGCACGGTCCAGTTGATGGTTCACTCGTCCACCGCCAAACGGAAGCAACTACTACTAGCACGAAGCATGCAGCACCCGGGAAACGTGCAGCAAAAGTCGAGTTTGACCCAGAACGTGCGGTCAGATTGTTGCGGTGGCCGGTGTTGTGCGCAGGCCCGGCGTTGCTCACGTGTAGCGTGCGAGTGCGAGTGCGAGTGCGAGTGCGAGTGCGAGGGCCCGCGATCGCCCTCGACCGACGTGACCTTTCCACCGTTCGCTCCTATAACTTGTAAATTCCATTTTGGAGGTCGTTTCGTTTTGGTTATTGAAATAGAACATTCCGGTACTGGTGTATACCGGCACCGGCGTACCGTTTTCCGACTTTATAATAATAATAATAATAATAATAATAATAATAATAATAATAATAATAATAATAATAATATGTGAATATACTTATACATAAATGTACATATAAATATATACCGACTTAACTTATGGCGTAATTACCATTTTTACCAACTAACATATCATTCAACAAGTTCATAAGACCTTATTTCAAAGTTCAAACTCCAAAGTTCATACATGGAAAAATAAAATACATGCAACCACGCCAGGTATTGACCGGTATTCGACCGATATTGACCGGTATTTGACCCGATACGGGACTGTGGCTTTTCTATACCGGTCTAGGTGCTGGTACGAGGTATTCCGACCGGTACCGGAACGTAATTTACAACTACTTCGCTCAACAGCCCGGCGGCGGCATCAGGGGCGGAGCTAGAGAATTTTGGAGGGGGGTGCGGCTTACAGGCTAACGACAAATCAATAATGTAATTTACTAGTACCATAGCCATGATTGTAGCACGAATAATTTAAAACAAACAATAATGATGTACATCAACAAGCGGTAATAGTGCATTTGTGCTTACCGTTTATCAAAATATAGTTAGAGAACCCCATAATTATAACAGCAAAAGATTGTTGGTGTTAGCAAAATAGAATCCCCAACCACGAAATCCTCATTGACCTAAAGAAAAAGAAATAAACCATTCATTTGTAAGCAAAGAATCTACAGATTGTATCGTTGAAAAATTGAAAAGAGATGCATTACCTCTCATCGATCAAATCTACGCCCTTTTCCTTTCATGTTCATGAAACGATGAACCACAGCATCATTTGTAACTTTCTTTAATTCTTCTTTCTCCACATAGCAAATAAGTCTATTACTCAAGTGTGTATCACCGATGCGGTTACTAAGAGATGTTTTAACAATCTTCATCCCTGAAAATATCCTCTCCACTGTTGCAGTAGCAATTGACAATACAGCACAAGTTTCAAAAGTCGATAAACTAATGGATAGCATCGATATTTTCTTGTCTCCACCATTTTTTGTGAAAGCTCACTGATAGTATTTATGTTGGAGAATCGATTGTCTTCTCTCACATCAGCATTGTAGAGGCCAAGATAGTTGCAATGCTAATAACAAAGTGTTTGTAATGGTTAATGTGGTCAATAAGAGATGCAGGTAAAACACAAAGTTAAAAAGATTGGAAGTAGACTAGAAGGTTTGATGCTTGGTCTCTATTTTTCCAATCTCTATCATCCTTTTCCACAAATTGTAGCACCTGAACAATTATAGAAAACATGTCGACTAGACTTTTTAGAGTTTTATAATGGGAACTCCAACGAGTATCTCTAGGTCTTTGAAGACATTGTTCTTGATTTAACCCTCTCCCAGTTTCTAGCTACCCACACCCTAAAGCATTTGTCACTTGTTTATGATTTATATCCCTAATCATGTCCCTTCTCTTGGCTAATCCACCCATCACATTCAATAAGCTATGAATCATGGTTAAGAAATTGCTAATACCCTTATGCTTTCTCACGACAGCTACAATAACTAACTGAAGTTGGTGAGCAAAACAATGAACATAATATGCTGATCTACTTTCTCTCATAATTAACGATTGTAACCCATTGAACTCATCTCGCATGTTGCTAGCACCATCATATCCTTGACCTCTAACTTGTTTTAAGCTCAGCTTAAATTTGGCAAGTAAAGAATCAATAGATAACTTGAGACATGAAGAAGAAGTTTCAGTCACATGCACAAGGCCAACAAACCTCTCTTTCACAATTCCGTATTTGTCAACATACCTCAAGACCACGGCCATATGTTCTTTACAGGAAACATCCCTTGACTCATCAACTAGCAAGCAAAACACATCATCCCCAAGTTCTTCAAGAATAGATTGTAGGATTTCTTTTGCAAAGCACTCTACAATGTCCGTCTGGATTTCATGAGCCACCATACAACTATTACCTGCAAGACCCACTGCCTTCCCCAAATTAGGATCATGCTCTGCTAAGCAATCAAAAACCTAAAAAAATTCTCTTTGTTCAAAGACTCCTTCGACTCATCATGGCCACGAAAAGGCAAGCCTTGCTTCAATAATAACCTAGCGGTATCAATGGATCTATTCAATCTAGTAAAATAAGCCCTCTTAGATGCTTCACTCTGCTGATGCAAGACAACATCTATGTGCTGACTTCTCTGTAACAAATCATCACACTTCTTCATAGCAATAAAGTGTGATCCATCAACATTGCCAACATGTATCTTTAGCCTCTCTTTTATGTGATAACCATTCCAACCCTCAACAGCAAATGTTTTATATCCTGCATCCTTCTTTTCTCTTAACAAGAAACAACAAAAACAATATGCTCTATTTTTTGATTCACTATATTCAAGCCAACTTCCAAACTCATCAAACCATTCCGGCTAAAACCTTCTTGGATTGTCTTTTTCCCCAATCTGTGTAGAGGGAAAATTGCACGTGCATGGTTGGCATGGTCCATTCTCCAAATATTTCCTTCTCACCCTCTCTCTAAGATTAGGATGGTAAGAATTAATTTTCTTTCTTAAGCCTAGGTCATATTTGATTTCCTCTTCCCAGTTAATATCATCTGGACGACTGTTTGGTGCTTTTCTTTTGAAAAACCTTTTCATTTTTCCTAGCATCCATAAGAATACTTAAATTTTAGTTACTTTGATTGTTTTCACAAATACCAAATATCACAAAAAGAACAAAAAATCCTAACCCTAGAATCTAGACAAATTGCCACAAAATTGAAATCACTCGATGACGAGATTGATTGAAACTGAAACTATAAAAGAATGGAGAATATTTGAACTTGCTTACTTTGTAAAAGATGAACATAGAAGAGGAGTGGAGAGATGTGGGTGGAGTGTGCTGCTGCTGCCTCCTGCGGTCCCGGTCCTGCCTGTTGTGCGGTGCGCTCGGCGCTCGAGTGCGGCGCTCCTGGTGGCTGTTGCAGACTGCCGCCGTGCCGCGGTCGTCGGCTACTCGGCTAGCCGGCCACCCACCACGACGCCATCAGAGAAGCTGAGAAGGCGGAGGGGAACGGGAGAGAAGGCCGCGGGAGAGGAGGCGTGCAGTCGAAGACTTGCGACGCGAACGAAGCGTTACTGGCTTCCTGCGTGCGTGTGGATGGCCGGCCAGGAAGTCTAGAACTGATGTTGGGCTGCCTATTTCGATTGTGGGCTCTCATAACCTGGGCTGTGGGTGCAAGTATTTGGACCAAGTGGGTGTGAATACAGTAAAAATTTGTATACTACAAAAAAAAAATTGTATTTCGACGCGGCCGCACCCAGTCGCGACAACATGGATCCGCCCGTGACGGCAGTTGCCCAACCAATTGTCATTATAGTTTAGGCTCTAGCCCTCTGGCTGATAAATTAAAGTGCTTTGGACGGAAAGGGATCGGACTTGTGTTGGAGGATTAGCATATCCTTTCCGTTGAACCAACGGACCACCACTGATTGTAATTAAGCACTGGTGAGATTTTGTCCGTTGCCGGAATTATGATGATGTTCCTTTTCAGGATTGCCAAAATCCACGGGAACGGAGTGCCATCAGAAGAAAAGGCAGCGTGAAAGAAAAACGAACTTCGCTGTATGTGCAGTGATAGTGCTCGCATTGTCGCTGCAATCAGTTTACAGTTCAGAAAAAGGTTGTGTATGCTGATTAAGTCAGCCCTGGAACCAGCGACTTGTACTAAAACACCTCCCTTCTTTTGTCCTCCAAATCTCAATCATTTTATTCTAAAGTCACAGGAGAGATTTTGTTTTCTCGATTCGTACCCTTGTGAGCAAGTCAGGATCAGGTTCGTGTAGTGCATCCTTGGCAAATGCAGACTGAACAATAGGTGTATTTTTTAGGTAAAGGAAACTTTTCTACTTTGGCCTCTGCAACACTGCAAGAAGTTTGCAGGCAGAACCAATTTTCAATGCAGTTCAGGCTCCAGCCTGATAAACACTCTCACCACAAGCAACAAAAGGAATAAGAATAAATAATGGGAGGTATAGGAATCAGAAAATGAACAAAATAAATAATCAAAGGTCTAGGAATCAAAGGTAACGTATGGACTTCGCGTACGTGATGGGTTTTGGTTTTGTCAGGAACTGAGATAATAATTCACGTATTTATAATGGCCCTCGCGAATGGAGTGCCATCAGAAGAAAAGACAGCGTGAAAGAAAAACGAACTTCTCTGTATGTGCAGTGATAGTGCTCGCATTGTCGCTGCAATCAGTTTACAGTTCAGAAAAAGGTTGTGTATGCTGATAAGTCAGCCCTGGAACCAGCGATTTGTACTACTTCGGAAAAGTTGATTTAAGTCGGCTGCATAAGCATGACTGAAACAATCATCGCAAAAAAAAGCATGACTGAAACAAAAGAGATATCGAACGAAGCAGAGAGGTAGTATACAATATGGCACACAAAATACTATTAATAATTTATAATCTTATTAAATAATTTATAATCTTATTAATCGCACTGGTACATGCATTGACAATGGGCGGGAAAGCATATGCAAATTAACTTTGCTTCCTCCATTTCCCAGTCTTCAAATCCCTGAATGAAGCTGCGCACCAACACCTACTAGCTAGTAACTGACTGAGGCACCTCAATGGCTCAGTCCCATGCAGCAATACAATACTAGTACCAAACTAATCAACCACAATGACACAGAATTATTATGGTGCGCAGCAGCAGAGAGCCAATTATACTGGACGAGGGAACGGTAGTAGGTGTTGGGCACCCAGTTGGCCGGGATGACTTGGTTAGCAACCAGTGTCTTGCCGGACTCGTTGGTGATGCGCAGGGAGAACGGCGCAGTGAGGCGGTGGCCGGAGTCCAGTCTCCAGATGGATCCCCAGGACTCGCGCATCGGCGTCCATGACCCAGAGTTGGCCTCCATGAGGTCCACCTGCACCACGTCGCCGTCGCCGTCTTCGAACTCGACGAGCACCGCCAAGTAGACGGGGTTGGAGCCCTCCTCGACGTGGAAAGTCACCTTCTGCCCGGGGTAGTAGCAGGGCACCCTACAGAGGAGCAAACCATGTGATATGCTTGGATTAGGCTAGCTTCAGAACACTTTGTCCACAGGCAGTCACGCATGCAAACGCCAAATTGTAAACCAGAAGTACTACTAATATTTTGCGAATTGAATCTGCATGGGGCCCAGTTAAACCGGTCATTCTCGTTAGAGTTGGTTGAGCAAGAGTACAAGGGCTCCACGACGGCAAAATTAAGTAGCTAGACGGTCTCGAGATATGATTCTGTTGGTGTAGTGTAGGGCCTCCAGCTGATCATCAGCCGGTCATCTGTGCATGGTGGTTCTGTGCAAGAAGCGGTGCGTGTTACCCACCTCTTGAACTGGATGTCGATGATGCCGGTGTGGCGGAGCTCGTCGTTGCGGCCGGGCTTGGCCATGGCGCCGAACGCCGTGCCGCTGAGGTCAAAGTGGTACATGGCCACGGGGTAGTAGTTCATGTCAGTGATGATCACCGTCTCTGGGTTGACAGAGCAGGCAGGGTGGTTTTGGCATCGTATCTGGAAAAGAAAATAAAACGGGGTTAGTTAGTCATCAAAAGTAAAGGAAACTATGCTCTAGCTTTCCGTTTCCATTAAGGCAGGCACCAAATTAAAGGATCTTCATCTGACCAATTAATCTAGCTACATATATACCTGGTAGCAGGAGCCACAGCCCTTGCCGTCCTTGAACAGGGGCTCATTGCCGCACGATGTCATTGCCGAAAACGGCGGCAGGTTCACGTTCTTGAATCCACAGGCGCCACCTGCATGCAGAACAAATAATATAATTGATGGCACATGGCGGCGCACTGTAGTTAAGACTCGGTTCAAAACAACACTATGCACTACATATGCACAATGAGACCACGCATGCACCGGCGTTCATGTATTACGTACCGTTGTCATCAGGGCCGGCGCCGGTGGGCGCACCGTACCAGGTGGCCCTGGCAGCCTCCCAGTTGGGATCGGCGGTGAAGTCGGAGGCGTTAAAGCTCGCCGGCATCGCGCATGAGCCACACGTTGCAAGGAGCAAGAAGAGAAGTGCACCAAGTGCAACTACTGTGGAGGACAAGGTGGCCATCATAGTACTTGAGAGGGCAGCTATTAGAGCTATTAGTAGGCAGACAGGAGAAGTTCTGTGTGTCTCGATGGTCGAGGACGAGCAACCTTGCAGTGGTATTTATCAGTGGCGGGCTCAGGATTTTGGAGTTGGGTATTCAAAATGTATAGGGGTAAAAAAAAATCACAACCAAACCAAAAGGCTAATATTTGACATGTATAATGCCGCATAGTATATATAGGAAATATATAACACATAATTGAGTATGATTTCATATATTCAAGAATTTTGGCATCAATTAAGCATACAACTCCCTCTTGCTCAACCTCATCTTGTGAATGTTTCTTTCATTTGCAAGAAAGTTCTCAAATCTATAGTACCACTATTTTCTCTCTTCATACTTGAGACCTAAAATGAAATCAAGAGACTAGGCTACGTAATTTAGGGACAAATTACTATGCCTAACAAATCTCTATATATGAATCCTGCTTCCAAAAGCGGGCTAATGGATAGGGCCACGTCGCCTACGAACCCGCTAGCCGTTGGATAGGGCGACAAAACAATCTGGTACGTCCGATACGGATCAGTTCGGGTCTCATACCCACTTCGTTCTCGACCCGAGGCATCGCGACGCTTCACGGGCCGCACGACGCGTTTCTCCGCTCACCTTTTCCTCCTCGTCCCCTCAGCCAGCTCCGCCGCCCCCATGCTCTCCACTCCGCCCTCCGCTTGCCGCGCCACCAGAGCGGGCTGGAATTGCGGTCACCGGCGAGCCGGCGAAGCGTAATGGCATGATGGCGAGCTGGCGCTGCCGCCTGGCCCCCGGCGCGGCAGGCTGGCGAGGCGGGGATCTGGCGGCGTGCCCTCGGCGCGGCGGCTCCCGGTCAAGGTGTGGGTACGGCCGGCCACGAGTCGCTGGCGCGAGCGGCGTCGCAAAAGCCATCGGCTCAGGTCCCTTGGCGCAGCAGGCCACCGACGCAGGTCCCTGCCACCGGCGAATTGGCGAGGCAGCGGGCTCCAGACGCCGTGGGGGCTCCCGGCGCGGCAGCGGGCTCTAGACGCTGCGGCATCCAGATGCGGCGCCGGCTCCCGGCACGGTGGCCCTGGTCCCTGGCCATGCCAAGCCCACGCGCAACGCCACCGAGCATCCGCCTCGTCCCATCTCGACGTCGACGCTCCAAATACTCCGGCGACGCGCGTTGAAGAACGGCGGCATATCCCCGTGGAAGACGCCACTGTCTTGGTGCTGCGGAGGTATGCTAGCACACGCAAGGCCTCTCGTTCGTTAGAAAAACTAGGCACATCTTGATTGCCATTTTGAGCCAATAGTTGATTTCTAGAATCTGGACACCCTGATTCTTAAAATGATATACATGTCGATCCGAGAAAAATTCACCACTGACCTCACCCATAAAGACGATGATCAGCTGCTGATCAAAGAAATGCCTCCTCAGGTAATGTGTACACTGAACAGTAAGTGTTTTCTATTGCAGGCCCAAAGCCGTCATTATTAGGCTGTCATCAAGCAATGGATGAAGAAGCATATGAAAAACTTGAGTCTATGTGATGTGAGAAATTTTGGTCGACAAGTCAACAGATTTATGTATCAAGTGAGCAACCCAAAAGCTATGGAGCATGAACCTCGGGCTCTGTTTTTGTGTTCTGCAATGAAGAAATGCATCAGCTCTGCTGACTATATTCATCCTGCTTGTGCTCAAACAAGTTGCTGCATTTTCCTTGCTACTGCGAGGATTCTGGCCAGAGAAAAAAGAGGCAGCGGTCTTGGTTGATACCTGATAGACAAGATGAGAAGATTTGCCCATTCACTGTAGCTGATGGAGGTGCTTCGGGCTGCTTCAATGCGAGGGAGAATGATACAAGCTTGCTGAGATTATTAAGATGAATCTATTTTTCTGTACATACTCCCTGTCTTACATGTAGCAGCTATGTTCGCATTTCCGATCTGAGCTCATCAACATGGAGACTGGGAGAGAAGAGCATAAATAAGCATGTAGCACAATTTGAAGGTCAATCATGACCTATGCTCCTCAATTGGGTTCTAAAGTATAGCTTCGTCACATGTAAATTTAGTATGCAATAATATATCCGCCAATTGTAATTTTCAATATGCATATAATTGCAAAGAGTTAAATGTACTCGTTGTATTAATATGTCAATAAAACTTTATCTGGTTTGGTCAGCCATGGAGAGATTTCCACTCTGCCTAAGTCCATTTAAGACAAAAAAAAATAAATCTAACCCTAAGATGGCAGTAGAAAACCACCCTATTCCACCATTTTTTACTTAATTAATATGGATAATTTTATCCTGCCCCTGCATTCACTAAGCCCAGAGTATATGATGGTCCCATATTTATATTAGATCGTTGATCAAGTAAGAAAATTGCTGTTTTCACATGTTTATTTGTACACAAAACAGGACCATCTATAGTACAATGGGCACGTCCACTGGCCATACGCGGCAACGCCGCGATCTTTTCTAGTTGAATAGGAAATTCGAAACCTGAATCTCAACTTACACGAACAGGTCCTCGCTGCCTCTCTGGTCGGCGGTCTCTGCTAGCCTGCTGTGTCTGCGTGCTGGTGCTGCTGCCGCGGGCCGGTGCCGCGCAGCCCCGGTGCGTGCTTCCGCCTGCCGAGCGCCGGCTGCTGCATGCTGCTGCCGGCCTGCCCCTGCCCTGGAGGAGACTGGAGTCCGCCGTCCGTGCGCGATGGCGCAGTGCGCCCGTGCCGCCGCCGCCGCCCGCCGGCCACCAAGGCGCCGCGCCGCCACCACTCGAAGTTAGGCTAGGGTTCGCCGGACGCCGGTTTGGGGAGAAAACGCGGAGTTGCGTGCGGCTTCCCTCCCGACTCCCGTGACCGTTGGGAGCTGGCGTTGTTGGGCCTGCGGGTGAGAATATGGGCTGCTAGGCGTCGTTGGGTTCGGGCGGGGGAGGAAAACGAGTAAAAAGATGTTATTTTGGGCTGTGGATCTTGCGCACCGGCTGAGGAGGCGGCGGCGGGCCAAGGAGGTGGCAGCGGGCTGACGATGCGGCGGCGCTGGTCGAGGAGTCGGCGGCGTCTGATCTTGCCCTCGCACTCGCACCGGCTGACGAAGAGGCGGCGGGCCAAGGAGGCGGATTGGGTTGAGGAGCTGGCGGCGGGGGTCGAGCGCGCGGCGATGCCGGATCTGCCCGCGCACCAGCTGAGGAGGAGGTGACAGACCAAGGAGGTGGCGCAGGTCGAGGAGCTGGCGGCCGGCCGAGGACGCGGGGACGCCGGATCTCGCCCTATGGCAGAGGATGTGGCACGACGATTGTGGAATCGCGCTCACCGTCGTCGCCCTCCACCATCGTCGCGCTCGTCGTGTCAGTTTGCCCATGCCCTCACTCTCTCGGCGGTGCGCGCAGGCCTAGGCTTCTCACGGCCTCCGTGCATTCTCTCCCTGTGTTTCCAACCACGCCCTGGTGAAAAGAGAAACCGGCGTCCTTGAATGTGCTTACCACGACAAGTTGCAGGTCGATCCAGCACTAGTGCGTCGTTGCCTTTCAACTGAAGAACTCCAACTACAATCCAAACTGTTACTGTTTGATGAATTGCCATGCACAAGGAGATGACATCGGTGACTCTATGCATCACGTACGCCCACTCTAGGTCATCACTCACTCACCAGGATGCAGGAAATGCATAACAAACTAATCCAGGCGCTGCTGTGAGGGCATCTGATCACTCTTTCAGGTGCAAATTTCAGGAGTCCTCTTTGCATTCTTCTTAGTCTAAATCAAAATCCAGTTTGATTTAGATTTTTTGTGCAAATCTATCTGAACGAATATCAGTATGTTTTCTTATTAGAATTTTTAGTGCACTGCAGCAAAGCTCTGAGATACAATCGAACCACAATTACAAACAGGAACACTGAATGCCAGACCTAATAACAGAGGAACTACAA